TTCTGTATCTATTGCTAGTTGATCTATGATCTTAGTAGAGATAATTTTAGTAAATATTGCTTTATATTTATCATCTAGATAGAAGATCGAAATGTCAAGAGGAGGTATTTTTAAAGTTGATTTGTCTTCTGTAGGTTGTTTTGGGTATGTTTTATATGATTTTTCTAGAGTTGCCTTGTATAATATTTCTTTGTTATGTAAGTAGTTTTTTCTTTATTTCTGAAGATACAGTTTTTGTCAGTACAAATGAGGATATGGAAATTAGTAAATTTGGATGAGAGGAGTTTTCATTCATATGTGGTCTCAGGTTTATTGAATTCAAATTTTTCAGAAAACAATTTTAATAGGTTGAATACAAGTTCTTTACGAATCTGAGATTTGATATATTTGTTTACTTTGTCTTTGTCAAGTGTTATAGAAAATTGGTGACAGTATATTTTGAATACTGATTCAAACCACTTGTCTAGGTTGGTAAAAAAATCATTAAGTGAGAAAATATTGAATTTTTCGAGAAAAGTAGTTTTATGAAGATTAAAAAATATAGTAATATTAAATTTTTGATCTGTTTTGAATGAGAAGATTGGTTTGTCTTCATTGGTTGAATTAATTTTGAAGGTAACTTTAAAGTGTTTTGGTCTAAAGTTGAAGTTTTCAGCAAATTTGTTATAGTTGATAGTTTGATAGTTGTTTGATAGATAAAGATATAGACATGCTAGATTAAGATATGCTTGTAGTTTGTTTTCAGGTCTGTATAGTAGAATAGATATTGCTGATACAAATATTTTTTTGTAATTGAGTTTAGTAAAAAGTATAGTAATAAATTTGAAAATAAGGTTTTTAAGAGATAATTCTAAAAATGAGAATAGGATTGGAGTTTTAGAAGTTATTTCAGGGTTGCCTTGATAAATAAGGTTTGTAAGAAATTTGGATATATCTGTAGCCATTGTGTGAATAAGATATTGAAAGTTTACTTTTATAGCAGATCTAATTATATGATCTTGTTGATTTATTCTTGCTGGTTTAATTTCTTTGTCAGGATAAAAGTTATATAAAAATTTTTTAAGAAAAGATAGTAATTGATAGAAAAGTGTTGTTTGAAGTTTCTTGTTAGGTTCTATTGTTTTTGTAATTGGGTAGTTTGCAAGCCAGTCAAAAGCTGATTAGATTTAGACTTGATATTTGTCTGGTTTTGATTGTTTGATTGCTTATCGTTTGATGTTATTTTTCAGAGTTAGATTGTTTTGTTGAGGAAGAGGGTAGATGAGTTGCTGATTCATCTATTTCTATTTCTGTTAAGTGTGTATTATTAAAAGTTGATATGAGTGGGAGTAACATATTGAGAGGGTTGGTAGTTGTAATTAACAGTATGTTCTGTACTTGTTCTTGAGGTTGTTAGAGGCAATCAATATGGTAAGTATCATTGTCTTGGAATATAGCATCATTTGTAAGATGGTGAATACTGTTAATTTTCTTGCAAATTATTGTACCTCAGCATTTAGAGCATGTATGTTGTTCAGGAGTAGGAGTTAAAGAGACTAGAACTGTTTGAGTTGATGATTGTAGTATAGAAGTAAGCTTTCTAGTTTGTCTATTAGATGTTATAGAACTAGTAGTTACTTGAATATTTAAGTTTGGTTTTTCCTAGACTCAAAGTTTGTATAAAAACTGCTATATAAACATGTGACCATTTGGGTGGTTGGTGGAGCAGATAAGAAATGTATTATTGGGTAGTTTCTAAGTTTTTTAGTAAAACAGGTGACAGGTTAAAATTTAGTAAGGATAGCATTAATTATATCAGATTTTTCTTCGTAAATCGATATACTAAAAAATCTGGCATAGTGAATATAAAAGTAATCAAGATCTAGAGTGTCTAGAGTTTGAACTACAGGAGTAGATATTGTGCTTTGTAGTATACAGTATAGTTGGGTAGAAAGTATAAGGGTTTGGTTATATGTTTACTTAAAGACACAAATTTCCTTTACTTAGTAAAATTTTAAGTTATTTAGCTAAGTTGTTAAATTGGTGTTGAACAGGGTAATATATTTATTTCTGAGGCTGTTATTGCAGCTGCTGTGGCTTGTGTAATCTTGTATAATCTAGATAATCTAAGGTGGCACGAGTGTGGCTAGTGTGGCTTGTGGCTGGTGTAATACAAAAATTAGTTGCACGTTGTGTAAAATGTTGTGTAATAGTTTAGAATTTGTGTAAAATAAAAGAAACCAATAATTTTTTGTAGAAAAATTAATACTGTTTAAGGAAAAATTAATTTACACAAAAGAAAATTAATTAAATCTAATTTTGGAAGTGATTTGAGGTTACACAAAAAATGAATTGAAGGAAAAAAGTAGGGTAAAAGTAAAAAATTTTTGCAAAGAGTTTTTAAAAGAAATAAAGAGTATTTTTGTTGTAACTCAGTCAATATTAGATTAAAAACCTTCATTTAGAGCTTGTTTTAACTGGCAGATGTGCTCTACAACTTCTCTTAATGGCCAGGAGAGTTGTAAAGGCAGTTTTTGAAAAATAAACAGAAGTTTGGTTTAAAAAACCAAAACTAGTTTTTTTATATTTTTGCTACGAGTTTTTAAGCTAAAGACTTGAAACTTATAGAATATATGTAAAACTATGAGAGAAACAATTTTTCTTAATTGGTGATTCACCAGTCAGCTAGTGAGAGGTCATAGTGTAATGTGACATGGTTTACTTATAGAAATTAGGGTTTTGTGAATATGGGCTGCATCATTCTAAAACTTTTTTTCATACTGAATTAACTACCTTTAGGCTTCTAATTGAAGTTGTAGAGCTTATTGAGAGGAATCTAATGATATTTAAATTGTCAAAATCGGTCTTGTGGATCATGAGATATCTTTGAAAAATATTTCACGACTATGTAAAATTCTCTTGGTGTTACTATTGTCAAAAGAGAGAATTTTACATAGTTAGTGAAAAGTTTTTCGAAAATATCTTGTGATTCACAAGGCCGATTTTGATGATTCAACTACCATTAGATTCCTCTTAATGAGCTCTACAACTTCAATTGGAAGCCCAAAGATAGTTAACTTAGTATGAAAAAAGTTTTAGAATAATGCAGCCCATATTCGCAAAACCCAAATTTCTATAAGTAAATGCATCATGTTATACTATGACCTCTTACTGGCTGACTAGCGAATTATCAATTAAGCAACAAAAGTATATTTTATTAATAAATTATTGAGATATTAGCAATTTTATGATGCACGAATTTTTATTTAAGTTTGTGTAAAGGATTTACAGAAAGAGTTTTTTTTTATAAAGATATTTATTGTATTGGTATAGTGAATAACCAGTTATACACACAGGTTCATATTTAAATCTGTGCCTTCAGCACAAAATATAAACCTATGAATAACTAAACTATTCACTATATATCTATACAATAACTATAAATTATTTATATACTACTATTAGCATTACTAACATTAGTCTGTAATTATTTTTTGCCAGGCTAATTTATAGATAATTATCTCAAAATATTCATATATTATCTCTAAAATGTAATAACTAAACCTCAAACCAAATCAGTACCAAATCTAATGCAGGCTCATGATTAGAGCTATAATCAATATTTTGAGTATCTCTTCAAGGCATTATGAGATTATTATAACAAAAGTATTTAAGAGATAATTAATTTGTATAACTTATGTAATCATCGATAGTAGTGTATAAGAAATGAGATCATTAAATAGAAGTAATTTGTAGTTAGTATAAGTAATTAAAAGGTAGTAATAGCTTGAACAAATAGTATAAAATAATAATACAAACCTTTTGCACATGCTAGTATATTCAATATAATTAAATATCTTTTTGTATATTATTCTGTTCTTCACCTTGTCTAAATTCTTAAATACTAGAAATAACCTTGATTTATCTGTCACAAAAATACTTTGAATTCAACAAGATACCAAAGCACAATCATATTTAAATCTATAATAGAATACTCACATTCGATTTATCTTTGAAATTATCATTATATATCTAACTCTCATAATAATAATTGCTTTATTTTTTGGCTTACATGTATTAATCAAACTGAATATAGAATATTATAATTTCAAAATATGCAGAGTCTTAAATTATCTGTTATCAAGTAAAGATTTGGTATTGAAATATCTTACAAACAAAAATATAAATTTAGTTAGATTCTTAATTATAAACTTTTAAGTAAATAATCTATACATAATTCTTTAAATTTGTAGAGCATAAATAAAAGTAAAATACAAATCTTGTACAAACTAGAGGTGGTAAAAGTAATTAAATAACAGTAAAAAAAACAATCTTTTATAACAAAACTGAAACAAAATGCACATATTATAAACTTTTGAAACTAAGTTTTTGTTAATAAAGAACAATTTATTAAACTCAAATAAGTGATACTATATTGTATATAGTTATTTACTATACTTTAAGATTTTTTTCAAATTACTAAACAGTCAAAATATGCTTTTGCATAGTAATTTATAGTAGTTTTATTTACATGTATTAGCAGGTCTTATAGCAAGAATCTTTTTTAAATTAGTATAAGTAAAATAAGATACAAAATTATTAAAATCTGTTAGCAAAGTAATAATAATTACTACAGTTGTATTTAATATGTCAAATCAAAAAACCAAATCTATTAATATTAATCTATTTTCTATTGCTGCTCAGTCAAAAAATGATTCAAATAATAATATTGATGATGAATCTTCTATTTCTGAAGAAAGTAAGAATAATTACTATCAGCTTAAAGTTTCACATTTAGCTAAAGAATTATTAAACTGGAACCCAAATTGGCCTAAAATATACTCATAGGTTTACTGTAGAAAAGAATCATTAAGCAGACTTATGTTTTGTCATTGGTGTAAAGAAGCTGGCAAAAATAATAACTTTACTAAAGGTTGTGAATACTTTAAAAAATAGTATTTAGGTCGCATGTTAATATTAATGACTATCAGATGATTTGTGTTGCTCAAACACAATCTCAAGTCACTTTACAATCTAGCTTTGCTATTCAAGCTGAAACTGATCAAATTAAAGTTATAAGAAATATATGCAATGTATATTTTTTAATTCAACATAACTTGTCTACTAATATATTTGAAAGTTTGTATAAATTGTCTAAAATTCAATGTGCTGAAGACCAAAACCAATTTGAATATAGAACTGAGACTTTAAATATATTTGATAATAACCAGTTTGCTGATGATGATGAATGAGCACCATATAGTAGTTATCAAAATAATATTTTAGTATGTGAATTTATTGAATCAATCGACCATGTTGTAGAACAAGAGATTTTTCAAGAACTATATGCCTCAGATGGTTAGAGTATGATAATTGATAAAAGTAATACCATATCTTTTAAAAAAATCTTGGCAATTGTTTCTAAACACACAATTGTGCTGCCAAAACCAATTTATCAATTTTTTGAATTAGTTTTATTGGGAGATAATACTGCAAATTCAATAGTTGCCAAAATTCATCGATTTTTTCAAGCAAAAAATATTTCATATAATAATTTGATGCATATTTGCACAGATGGGGCTAGTACAATAACAGGTAATATATTTAAATTATTAAATATATGTATAAATATATATATATATATTAAAAAGTTAATATATTTATAATTATTATTATAGGCATTTATATTGGTGTAACAACTTAACTCAAAACTAAAAATCTATTTATTCTGGAACATCACTGCATTTCTCATAAATTAGTATTAGCTGCAAAAGATGCAGCAAAACAAGTTAAAAAATTTAAACAATATGAAAAATTGTATATAATATCTATATATATACAAAAATTTTTAATAACTTACTATATTCTTTTTTTTTTTCAATTCTCAACAGAATTTAATAAGTAGTTTCAAAAATTTTTTAAATATTATAAAAACAATTTAATATTATTAATAAACAAAAAGTCTATAACTATATCAAATTCCAAATAGTGGCAACAATGAACAATAAATACAAAAAACTTGTTTCTAAGAAAATTTACTTCTTGACTATTTCAACTATTCAAGACTATACAAATACTACTATTAAAACTGTATTACACCATATACTTACATATATAAATTTTATCAAATATATACAATCTTCACAATTTAACTATTCACTTCTTTAAACTTTCTTTTCAAACTCTACTTGCTTCTAAATATATTTACCCAACTATTGATAACTCTATCTTTTTATCTAACCAACCTCATACTGCTACTTTTTTTATTGTCTTTCCTTTTAAAAACCTTTATGAACTTGCTAACTAAGCAGAACAAAAATTTATTATACTTAACCAAAAACTTATTGAACTTCAAAAAATAAAACTTTTTAAATCAAATTTTACAACTAAAAGCTTTAAACCAATTTTTTTTCTTTTTTTATAGTTATTTTAAAGTATAATTAAAAATAGCCACAACTAATGATCAATCATAGACCTTAACCTTAAGGAAGTATTCAACAAATTCTCTTTTATATCTACAAATCCACAAACTTTAGCCAGAATTATTGCCTACTATGATATTACTCAAATCTCTAAATGAACTATTGCAAACTTTAAAAAATCTAAAGAAATCATATCTTGACCAAGCAAACCAATACTTAATTAAAAAGTTCAAGATCTCTGTTCTTACTATATTGTATTCAGACTTTATTGCTACAAATTTCAATACTCAACAACAACAACAACAACAACAACAATATAAACTACAAAAACAACAACTAATTAGCTCTTCTACAAAATCTAAAACTCCTAAAATTAACAAATAACAACAGTATCATTCCAATAAATCTACTATAAAATTTAAAATTCTAATATTAATGAAAGCCTCTTTCTAATTTAAAACTTACTTTATATCTTATACTTTAACATATTAACTATATATTTTGATATATTTTATTATCTTCAATATATTTTTTAACTTTATATACTAAATATAGCCTAGTTTTCATTATTATAACTTATCTATTAAATTGTAACACAGTCAAATTTGCTTGCATTTATTTTTTTAAACTCTAATTTTTTAATAAAATTTTAAATATTAATTTTAGCAATATACTTTCTAAGTAAA